ATTTTTTAATAAGGGAATATGAAAGCTTGTTGACAGATGGACAAAGTGAATTGAAAAGCATGGACATTATATAAAAAATGATCTATTTGTTTTTTCCAAAAGTCAATTAAAATAAATTCTACAATCAGAGTGAGGTTAATTTTTGACTCACCCTCATATAATCAATTTGTACTACCCCAAAACACTACTTAAACTAAGTATCTATATAAATTGAGAATTCATCTCTCATACTTCAGATAATTATCAGGAGGGACCAGTAGAGAAGGGCATCAGCTTGGTAAAGTTGAAGGTCAGTGAAAAAGAGGAAGACACCCCCCCCAACAAGATCCACTGGCTCAGTGGCACAGCAATGGGCTCAAGTATAACAATTGTGGGGATGACGCAGGACCAGGTTGTTATGCACAGAGTCCCTGTGAATAAAAAACTAACTTGAAGTCACCTAACAACAACATAAAAACCTATAAATATATCAAATAAATATTTGATATATATGTAAAGGTGTATCTCACTGCCAACTACTCATCTGTCAGTTTGTCATGCTGGGGTAGCTTGTGTGTTGCTGTGAGGCTACAAGTTATGCTACCAGTATTTTAAATACCAGCAGGGTCTCCTACAGTGGATGGGTTCCAGATTAACACAGTAGGATAGAGGAGAGGCAGACCACTTCTGACTGGTTAACAACTGAAAACCTTATGAATAGCAATGGAACAGTATCTGATATAGTGCCAGAAGAAGAGCTCCTCAGGTTGGAAGGCACTCAAAATATGACTGAGGAAGAGCTGTGTCCTCAAATTAAAAGTTGACCTCAGTGATAAAGGTGGAGTAAAGATTTTACTTCATTTACTAAACGGGCACAACTCAAACAGCTGCAAACATCCATTAATAATCAGAACACGGAAGCCTTTACAGAGTATAGGACCTTAGGTGGAATCCTGAGTCCCATCCACAACCTTGTGAGGTGAGACATTCCCACTAGAAAGGACAAGCAGACTGGAACAGCTACAGTGACAGAAGATACATCTTCATGATGAACCTGACCTATACTCAGAGCAGTAGTTACTCTAAATACCAACAGAGAGGGAAAGAGTCTTCAAATCAAGTTTCAATGCCATCCACTCTGTACACAGGGTAGATAGGAATGGGCAACTTAGACACTGGCTACCTAAAATGAGGGGACAATAAAGGCACGAAGTGACTGGCTTACAAGGTTTCAAGAGGGAATTTAGTTTAAGAGGGTGGGGGGAAGAAAGAGTCCCCACTGAACAGCTATCATCTTGTCTAGATGGGTCTGGTGAAAGAAGATGGGGATAAGATTGCTAAGATTCAACAGTGAATAACTTATCATGACTAATCATGACTGTCACACTTGTAAAGGTAGAAGAAGTTTTGTAACAAAAAAAGGGGAATGGTTAATCTTACAGTCCAGAAACAGTGGACCCTAGGACCATCAAGAGAGGAACACACAAACAGAATGCGGGACCTTATCCAGAGAAGCAGCAGCAGCGCCAGAGGTGGAGGCAGA